TATATATGTGTGTGTGTGTGTGTGTGTGTGTGTCAGTAAGCAGCGCATTAATATAGAACGGTAAGGCTCTGATGCACACCAGCACACCAGTATAGGTGTGTATTGTAGGAGCTAGACGACGTATGATGACGTGTGACGGCATAGTAGTGGTGTCCCAATTCTTAGGGGAATATTTTCACCCCTACCCTTTGACACTCTGTTTCAAGAGACAAGGGGAAGGGGTATAAAATAGAATTGGGATTGGGCCTTATTCTGCACCATAATGCTGTAATAATGCAGAAATCAAGTCTGCTTAGAAATGAAAAACAAGTCCAGTGTTTCCCTGCTTGAATAAACCAGCTAAATATCCTCTCATTAAAATAGGATAAACTCATTGATCCCTGCTTTATGGCCATTCCAGCAGTTCTTAACATCTACAAATCACACGCGTTTCAAAGGACTTTAATGAGCTCTAATTGCCTTCAGATCATTAGCGCGGTCATTTTTAAATCTGATTTTTGCTAATGTTGCAGGGTATCACACGTCGGTGTTTGGGGTGAGCAGCGACTGTCTTCTGGAGGGTCTGGTGGGGGTGAAGAGCAGCGGATGTATGGTGGAGGTGGTGCCGTCGCTCCCACGACTGCAGCTCTGCACGTCCTTACCCAGGTTTACACACTTTTCTTCTTCAGAATATAAAATAAAAATCAATACAACAGTGATTTAATTAGATCACAATGTCTTAGGATGTTTTAGTTGATCTAACCCGCTTGCAAAACCCAGTTTTATGGAGATGTGACTTAGCTCAGTGCTGTCACAAATCAGAGGAAGCGTTCATGTGGTTATTCTCAGCTCAGACATCATGCCCGATTGCTCATGGAAAGCCCACGGACCGCCTGATGCATATTGCACACAAAAATAAAGTGCTGGCAGAGAATCTGTTGTGATTGGCTGGCTGCTGTTGGCAGGTTTTGGGAGTCAAGATTGCAGAGGTTTTTATCAGCCTAACAGGTAGCAATGTTTTGAAGTAAACTTCCACAAACTTTGTTGGTTCTTCGAAACACATAAAAGATTATTAAGGTAATTATTTGAATAAGTTACCACAGTGTTTTAAGCCATGTGACAATAGTACTCATACCCTAGTAAAATTTAATATATTTATTTCATACTAAGTATAGTTTAAATCTATTAACATGTTTACTGGCATATCGTTCGAGACTTAATGATATAAAATTAAAATGAAACTTTATTTGGAGTACTACGTACTTGTGCACAATGCAAATTTTCTAATATTAAGCCTAAAATGTGTTTTAATGTCACTAGTGATAAGGATTTTATGCTTTTAAAATAATATTGGTCTTTAAATGCAAGATATTTACAGTGTACCTAAAGTATACTTACAATAGTTCCACTTTAGCACAATCAAATATACTTCAGTATAACTTTAGTTGGACTGCAGCACTACTTCCTCACAATTAAAGTGCATTGAGTTGTTCCAATTTAACAGACTTTAAATATACCAGTTTAGAATGTGTACATAAAGTATGCAAATATGTAAATCTATTTGTAGTATACTTACCATGAAATAAATGTTTTTTTGAAATACATTTGAGTGTATTTGTTTTATTTAAAATAAATAAATAAACAAACATGTGTATGTACTAAAATAAAAATTTAAAATAGAATTTAAATAAAAATTTATATTAAATAATATAATTACATAATAATGATATGTTAATGTTAATAATAACATTGCTATTTTTAATTGTTTAAATAATTTTAACTAAAATTCTTATTATCATGATTAAAATAATATGCTTTTATGTGTGCTAATAATTGTTTTATTTATTATTTATATATTAAGTAACAGGTAAATGATTTTGATTTTAATAATATTCTCTGTAATTTTCTATTATGTTTTAGAACCGATGAACCAGTGAAGGCATATTCAATTTTTTTTTGGTGATTAAAATTTTAGGTAACAAAGTTTTGCTTTGCAGATCTAAATGTAATGAAATATAATTGATTAAGAAAAGTAAAAAAAAAATTGTGGAAAAAAACCCCTAGAAATTAAAATGTATTGGCACACATAAAAGCAAGGATAATATGGTGATTGTTTGACTATGCTACCATTGTGTTGTGTATGTCATATGACAGTAATAATCATAATAAAAATTATATAATTAAAAATATATATAGCATAAAAATTAGGGGTGGAACGGTTCAACTTACTCACGGTTCAGTTTGTATCACGGTTTTAGAGTCACGGTTTCAGTACGGTTCGGTATGTGCTATGTTTAGGGAAAAACTATACTGTCAAGTAAAAATAAAGAAAATAAGAATAATCTATCTAACTACAAGCAACAGCACAAATGTGACCTTGGAGCACAAAACCAGTCTTAAGTCCCTGGGTTATATTTGTAGCAATAGCCAAAAATACATTGTATGGGTCAAAATTATCGATTTTTCTTTTATGCCAACAATTATTAGGATATTAAGTAAAGATCATGTTCCATTAATATATTTTGTAAATTTACTACAGTAAATATATCAAAACTTAATTTTTGATCCGTTATATGCATTGCTAAGGACTTAATTTGGACAACTTTAAAGGTGATTTTCTCAATATTTAGATTTTTTTGCAGAAATGTTTGTGTGAATTTGTCCATTTAAACAATACTTCAGAGAAAGCGTTGTATTGTCGTATTGTTAGTATTATAGTATTGTCAGTTTGCAACAAGTTCACACAGGTGTTCTAGCAGAGGAACCACAGGTGGAGTTCAACACATCTAAATTTACTACAGTAAATATATCAAAACTTAATTTTTAATCCGTTATATGCATTGCTAAGGACTTAATTTGGACAACTTTAAAGGTGATTTTCTCAATATTTAGATTTTTTTGCAGAAATGTTTGTGTGAATTTGTCCATTTAAACAATACTTCAGAGAAAGCGTTGTATTGTCGTATTGTTAGTATTATAGTATTGTCAGTTTGCAACAAGTTCACACAGGTGTTCTAGCAGAGGAACCACAGGTGGAGTTCAACACATCAACATGATTTACTAACATCTGACCAGAATGTGCCACAACACTGTTTTTCTTTGTTGTGAAAGCATGTCTAGGTAATACAGGTGTACCAATTTGTAATGTGGGGTTTTGTTTCATGTTCATGTTTTCCATGTCTTTTATTTTGTAATTGTTTCATGCTGTCAGTGTCATGCTTCCCTTGCCCTCATGTATCTCTGCCTTGTGTATGTGTCATGTTGTGATTGGTAGTCTTAGTCATGGATCTTGTTTCCCATTGGTTTGTAGAAAGAGAGTATTTTGCTGTAATGAATGTATAAAAGTATGCGAAATGGTAAAAAAATGAAAATTAAAAAAAAAGAGAAATTTGTTTTGTATTGTCGCTGAATACAGACAGAGAGATTATGAAGAGAAGAAACAAAGATAAATTGGAGAAACTGTAACTCAGTTAATTAAGTCAATTAATTATTAAGTCAATTAATTATCAACTACGTGCATTATTTTATTTTTTTTGCGAGGAACACACTGAAATTTCGACTCTTAAACCAAATATGGTGAAATTGTGTAACGATTCAGTCCACTGAAGGTGAGCGTAAGTGAGAACCCAAGTGCATTTTATTTACAGTGTGATCCAAACATCCAAACAATAAGTATTTTGCTGTAATGAATGTATAAAAGTATGCGAAATGGTAAAAAAATAAAAATTAAAAAAAAAGAGAAATTTGTTTTGTATTGTCGCTGAATACAGACAGAGAGATTATGAAGAGAAGAAACAAAGATAAATTGGAGAAACTGTAACTCAGTTAAATAAGTCAATTAATTATTAAGTCAATTAATTATCAACTACGTGCATTATTTTATTTTTTTTGTGAGGAACACACTGAAATTTCGACTCTTAAACCAAATATGGTGAAATTGTGTAACGATTCAGTCCACTGAAGGTGAGCGTAAGTGAGAACCCAAGTGCATTTTATTTACAGTGTGATCCAAACATCCAAACAATAATCCGTGACTTGACATGAACTGACTTGACTTGACTTGAACAGACTTGACTTGACTTGACATGAACAGAGTTGACTTGACTTGAACAGACTTGACTTGAACAGACTTGACTTGACTTGACATGAACAGACTTGATTTAATTGACTTAATTAATTGAGTTACAGTTTCTCCAATTGATCTTTGTTTCTTCCCTTCATAATCTCTCTATGTATTCAGCGACAATACAAAACCAATTTCTCTCTTTTTTAATTTTAATTTTTTTACCATTTCGCACACTTTTATACATTCATTACAGCAAAATACTCTTTCTAACCGCCGCCCCCCCCCCCCCCCCCCCCCCCCCGTGAAAATATCTCAGCAACTTCTCTGACTCCAGTGCATTAGTACTTTACAAACTAATATATGAACATGTCTTTAAACGGGACATTCTTCCACCCTTCTGCAGTCACTCAAGTCTGTTGGATCCAAACCCTGTTTATCCGAAAAATATTTTCTTCACCCCCCCCCCCCCCCCCCCCCACACACACACTCTTTTAATTATTTCTTTAATATGGTTTGTTTGAGAAGATTTTGGCAGAAGGCGCTGGACGATCCTAAAGCACCCAGAACTAATTACAGTAATTCCTTATAGGCCCCCACACACACACACACATACATTCACAATCTTATATTCCATTTGACAGGATTGTCAGTCATTTTAATCATATTTAGCTCTGCAGAGGCTGCTGTAAACATATTAATTCTCAAGTACATTAAAAATATTATTCTTCAACATGAATGAGGCAGTCTGAAATGACAGTCAGAATGAAATGAAATGAAATTGGTTTGTTTAGTTTGGCTCTGCTGGAATAAAGGTTGGGTCAGAGACATAATAAGAGGGAGAAGACGAAGCACTCATAAAAATGAATGGGAGAATGTGTAACTCTAAATGTGGTAGTGGTAGAAATGCAAGTTACCTTTTTCATAGTTTATTCTCTCTTGAATGTTCATGTGCATTGTGTTTACCCTCTTGAAAACTAAAGTTTGATTTTTTACTGTTCAATTTTTCCTCAAAGGATCTTTGTCTTTTTTTATGACAGGCAAATTAGTCGATTTATGCAAATGTTGTGTTGTGAATTGATATTTCAGAAAACTACCATGAAGTACTCTTTTCGACTTGACCGTCCACACTTGTTTTTCATTCTTTCACTTTCTTCTGAGCTTCTTAAAGGTTTTTAGAGCCAAACATCAGTCTAGATGCTCTTAGACAAAAAGTGCACAGTACGAAGACATGAAAAATGGATTCAAACTTTTTAAGCAATTGACTAAAGGTTGTTTAGGCTCCCTGAGTGGAACAAACACAGCGGTTGAGGGGAAATTGATGGAATAGAACATTGGCAGCACACTTTTTTTAAATGGACTGTTTATTTTAAGGGTTTTTCTCAAGCCCTAGCATGTTCCCTAATTTTGAAGACCGTTATAATGATAAATCTGAAGTTTGCAGCTTGCTTTCGCACATCTCGATCAACTACAAACCCAATTCCAAAAAAGTTGGGACATTGTACAAATTGTGAGTAAAAAAGGAATGGAATAATTTACAAATCTCATAAACTTATATTTGATTCACAATAGAATATAGATAACATATCAAATGTTGAAAGTGAGACATTTTGAAATGTCATGCCAAATATTGGCTCATTTTGGATTTCATGAGAGCTACACATTCCAAAAAAGTTGGGACAGGTAGCAATAAGAGGCCGGAAAAGTTAAATGTACATATAAGGAACAGCTGGAGGACCAATTTGCAACTTATTAGGTCAGTTGGCAACATGATTGGGTATAAAAAGAGCCTCTCAGAGTGGCAGTGTCTCTCAGAAGTCAAGATGGGCAGAGGATCACCAATTCCCCCAATGCTGCGGCGAAAAATAGTGGAGCAATATCAGAAAGGAGTTTCTCAGAGAAAAATTGCAAAGAGTTTGAAGTTATCATCATCTACAGTGCATAATATCATCCAAAGATTCAGAGAATCTGGAACAATCTCTGTGCGTAAGGGTCAAGGCCGGAAAACCATACTGGATGCTCGTGATCTTCGGGCCCTTAGACGGCACTGTAATGGAAATCACAACATGGACTAAGGAATACTTCCAGAAAACATTGTCGGTGAACACAATCCACCGTGCCATTCGCCGTTGCCGGCTAAAACTCTATAGGTCAAAAAAGAAGCCATATCTAAACATGATCCAGAAGCGCAGGTGTTTTCTCTGGGCCAAGGCTAATTTAAAATGGACTGTGGCAAAGTGGAAAACCGTTCTGTGGTCAGACGAATCAAAATGTGAAGTTCTTTTTGGAAAACTAGGACGCCATGTCATCCGGACTAAAGAGGACAAGGACAACCCAAGTTGTTATCAGCGCTCAGTTCAGAAGCCTGCATCTCTGATGGTATGGGGTTGCATGAGTGCGTGTGGCATGGGCAGCTTACACATCTGGAAAGGCACCATCAATGCTGAAAGGTATATCCAAGTTCTAGAACAACATATGCTCCCATCCAGACGTCGTCTCTTTCAGGGAAGACCTTGCATTTTCCAACATGACAATGCCAGACCACATACTGCATCAATTACAACATCATGGCTGCGTAGAAGAAGGATCCGGGTACTGAAATGGCCAGCCTGCAGTCCAGATCTTTCACCCATAGAAAACATTTGGCGCATCATAAAGAGGAAGATGCGACAAAGAAGACCTAAGACAGTTGAGCAACTAGAAGCCTGTATTAGACAAGAATGGGACAACATTCCTATTCCTAAACTTGAGCAACTTGTCTCCTCAGTCCCCAGACGTTTGCAGACTGTTATAAAAAGAAGAGGGGATGCCACACAGTGGTAAACATGGCCTTGTCCCAACTTTTTTGAGATGTGTTGATGCCATGAAATTTAAAATCAACTTATTTTTCCCTTAAAATGATACATTTTCTCAGTTTAAACATTTGATATGTCATCTATGTTGTATTCTGAATAAAATATTGAAATTTGAAACTTCCACATCATGGCATTCTGTTTTTATTCACAATTTGTACAGTGTCCCAACTTTTTTGGAATCGGGTTTGTAGATGGCATTGCCAAACTAGCGGTGATATAAGAAGACAAGCCACCTGAGAAATCACTAAGGTGAAGCCCTAATAAGGCAATTGACTCTTTTAATTGAAAAGCGGCTGTAGAAAAGAAGGTTCCACCTTTCAATTAAAAGAGCCATTGACCTTATTGACATGGCCATCAGCAGGTCTTTATGATAGTCCTGCAGGATGTGCATTAGCCGGATCAACATGAAAATATGTTTAGTGTGATTTAAGAAGCAAAATTATTATTATTTAAGATTTTATTGGTGATTGATATGTTATTGAGATGCAAGCTTGAAAAATAAGTTTTACTAGTTTTTATACTTCCACAATACTTCTTTGACTAGCTGCCCAAATCATTTATTTACTTTATTTACTTATTTGTTTATTCATTTACTTAGCAATTTGAATATTTACAGTGGTGTGAAAAAGTGTTGGCCCCCTTTCTGTTTTTTACATTTTTTGCATATTTGTCACACTTAAAAGATTCAGATCATCAAACAAATTGTAATATTACACAAAGATTATGCAAGTAAATACAAAATGCAGTTTTTAAATGATTATTTATTTTATTAAGGGAAAAAAGCTGTCCAAACCTGCCTGGCCCTAAATTTATATTTAGGACATTAGGGATGCAAAGGCTTCAATCTGAGAATTCGATTTCAATGTAATGAACATGCAAATTAATAATTGATTATAATTACTATAATAATAACCCTGTGTTTTGCAATTATTTATTTAGCAGACACTTTTCTACACAGGTACACTCTGAAATTATTGCGTTATTATTATTATCCAAAGCAATCAAAAGTCCATTATAACTTTTTGAACTTTTTAAAGTGAAACTTTTTTTTTTTTCGGTTCGTTTTCACAGTATGTTTTAAATTGTCCCTGCGTTTATTTTTGTGTCCCCAGCATGTCTTTCGAAGTTTATACATTTATGCATTTAGAGTCATGCCAACGTTTTAAAAATCACATAAAATTGTGACAGAATGTCATTATGCATCACATTTCTTAATAAAACAGCTGAATTGTCGTCAAAGCTATTATTTACACCCCTACTGAACATTGAATGGTTTTATGCTGTGTATTTTTTGTCTTGGTCCAGGTCGGCTCATCTGTCCAGTGAAGACCTGTCCACCAGCGTGTCCCTGCGGCTGTTTAACGGAGAGATGCAGCAGCTGACTATCACCCTGGAGAATATCGGCACGGAGACGCTAAATACACTGGAGCTGACATCTAAAAACCTCAGCACTAAAGGTACACGCAACACACAGTCTAAACGTCGTGCCGCTCTTTATCGAGCGGGAAATGCTGCAGCGTTTTTGATACGATGCAAATCCTGTAATGGGACAGAGGTTCAAAGGCTGCGCTGATTGTTGCGAGTTCGTAATAGAGTCTGTGCATTAGTCTGATCACTCGAGCCCATCTGAGATTTCCCCATGACTCCACTGTTTTGATGTGCTCTCTCTTTGAATAAAGACGTATTTGAGGATGGAAAATAAGAGCGCGCAGTGCTCTTAGTGGTATTCCACACACATGCGAACATGAAAAGCGTTGTCTTTGGACTCTATGTGTGTGTGTGTGTGTGTCTCCTCTAATCCCAGACTGCTTTCAGCATCGGTGACTGAGCAGGTGGCCTCTACAGGCACGGACACACACACACTGTTTTTGCTTTGAAGTTGTTGTGGAGGTGTCCTTTGACTGAGCCGTGTGTGTGGATTTACTTGGCAGTACTTTAGTGAGGGATTTGTCCCCAGAAAGAACTAAATTTGACAAAATCTCACTATAGGGACATTTGTGAACGTCCTTATTTGGAAAAACGAAATTGGATCAAGAATAATTAAGAATAATGTGGGTTTAAGCATGTGCTTGCCAGGGTTTTCTGGGTGGTTGCGTTGTGTTTTCCGTTTTTTGATATTCTGTTGTCTAAATATGACTTGGGATCCTCCTGCAGTGTACATCTGTGGGAGTTTTCTGTCTTATTTATTGTCTGGCAGGTGAAGATTGTAAAACGAGTCACACTCTGGAGTTTAATAGTTAAAGTAATAGCAATAGCGATGCTAGACTTAGTAAAGGTCACTAATCAATAAATAAACCCACCCAAATCTTTCGCAAGGTGGAAGAAATACATCTGAGGTAAAATGTTCAAAATGTTTCATCAGTTGGAAAAAAAATCATTCTGGAAGTGATTCCAACGATATCGTTTCTCTGTGCCTTTATCATTATAGCTGTGGCGTGAACTCTGCTATTATTTAATATTGAGAACGATTTTTAAAATGATATCTTTATCGTTATCTTTATCGTTATCGTCCTTGGTGTGAACGGGCCTTGCGAAGTCTTGTTAAGCTTCAGTGGTTCTATCTGATGGGACGTGATATCTGAAATAAGAAAATAACCAATGTCTCTTCAGACATCCTATTTGGGTTTCATTCAGGAAAAGAAAAAGAGAGAAACCCCCCCAAAAAACAGAGTTTACAGAATTACTTTCCAAATGTATTAAATGATTGCATTGTCATGTCCCTGTTAGTCTCACAGAGCTGATCTTTTTACTATTGGCAGGTCTAGTCCACTTTGCAGATTATTCTGGCCAAGAATCGCCCATTTTGAGTTGTTTTTAATTGCTTAAATCGAATGCATTTGTTCACACCTGGCAAAACACCTGCAAAAAGCACCTGTGTGGTTTGCGATGAGTCAAGAAATGCTATTGAACTGCATTTTGTTGGGTATTAATGCTGAAAGATATGGATTGGATGCATCCCTACAGAGGTTTACTCACTCAATTGAATATTGCATGGCATGATTTTTCAAAACATCCTGAGGGTGAGTTCACACACACACATTTGTTTGTATATCGTCTCTCTCTTTTGAGAGTTGAAATGCCCAAGAGTAGAGCGAGCAAGCAAGAGAAACACAGAGAGAGAGAGAGACAGTGAGATGATCTCCTGAAGTCTGCAGTAGAACTATAAATATCATGTCTAGTTTCCTACTAACTGTTGACATGGCCAAAGGAAAAGAAACCAGGAGAGAAAAAGAATATCCATGAATCGTGTCCCATTTGGATCTGGAAATGTCAAAGCGCTCGCCGTCTCTGCTGTGCATAAACCAGGATCTCCAGACACTAACTAGCTCACCTGTCTGTTTCACATCTTGGGTTTTATAACTAAACATTTCTAAATTTGAAAAATACTTAGTCTCTAAGGATGCAGGACTTTCAGTTATTATTATTATTATTATGCATACAAATTTATATCATTACATATACTACCAATGAGCTACCAAATGTCTATCCTAAAAAAAAAAAAACCTTTTCTTTAAACATATATTATATTATATTATATTATATTATAAACGCACTTAAATAGTTATTTAGTATAATTTTGCCAGAAAAATTGTAGAATTTTTTATCATATATTAATGTAAAAAATCTTGTGTAATATAACTTTTATTTGTTTGCTGGTTTTTATTGTATTTGTTATACTTGTATTTTTTTTATTGTTTTTGCCATGAAAAATAGCCTAAGATGCTGACATGACATTAAATAAAAATATATATATTATATTATATTATATATTATATTATAGTTAAAGCGCTGCTAAATATATTTAATATGTGACCCTGGATCACAAAACCAATCATAAGGGTCAATTTTTTTTTTTAATTGAGATGTATACATCATCTGAAAGCTGAATAGATGAGCTTTCCATTGATGTATGGTTTGTTAGGATAATATTTGGCCGAGATACAACTATTTGAAAATCTGGAATCTGAGGGTGCAAAAAAAAATCAAAATATTGAGAAAATCATCTTTGAAGTTTTTCAAATGAAGTTCTTAGCAATGCATATGACTAATCAAAAATTAAGTTTTGATATATTTACGGTAGGAAATTTACTAAATATCTTCATGGAACATGATCTTTACTTAATATCCTAATGATTTTTGGCATAAAAGAAAAATCGATAATTTTGACCCATACAATGTTTTTTTTGGCTATTGCTACAAATATACTCCAGTGACCTAAGGAAGAGTTTTGTGGGACAGGGTCACATATTTTATTCACTTTTTAAATATTTATTTAATAGTGAAATGCATTGATAAAAATGGGTTAATATCAATAAAAATGGACTATTTTACAGAGTATTTGTATGTTATCTATATTTGTGCTATTTTTTGTATCTTTTCATTGGCTTAACAACATCTTCAGGGGCTCAAAAGCTCATTTCAGTCAAAAGTAAGGGAAGCAATAGAGGGATGGAGAAGAGGAAGTGGATGTAGACAGGAAATGAGAAGCTAGGAGCTGCTGTGGTTTAAGTGAAGAATATAGTTCTGGGCATGACGACCATGATTGAATTCTTATAAGGTCACTTCAGCCGTACATGCACTTACAGTAGTCTTTGTTTCTTTCTGTTCTCGCTCTCTCTTTTCCTCTCGTATTGCCGGAGCAAATTGTCCCCGTGGCAAATGACCCTAATGTGGAAATCCAAGTGATTCTTTATTGCGGAATGAAGCTAATGATGTTTTCTTCCTTGATGAGCCTACGGGTCTGGACCTGTGGGCTCATCAACAGCCACCAAACACAAGTCTCAAACATCCAAAATTATAATGTCCTGTCTGCTTTTTGGACTCATTACAGAACAAGGCTCCAAAAACCTCTCCAGTGGGCAGCGCACAAAGCCTCTTAGGGCGTTTTTGTGTTTTTGCCATATATATGTTTTTGTGTTTGGTTGTGACATTCTTTTGGTCAGAAAATGTCTTTTACCTGGAGTGCAGAGGTGCAGAGTTGCAGGCGCTAAACTTGCTAAAGTTTGTGAATGAACTGTTCAATTGATTCAGACTGAATCATGAACTGATTTAGACTGAACAGCTAATTCTGACTAGATCTCAAACCAATTCAGACTGATTCACACGCTGATTTAGGCTAAATTGCAAACTGATTCGGACTGATACACAAACACCTTTTGGACTGAATCACAATGATTAAATTAATCAACATCAAATTCATTTTAAAACCGAATCAGACCGACCTGGTTACATGTTTAACAAATTTATTTAAAGAACAATCGCAAAAGAATTATTCATTCACAAATCAGACACCAGTAGATTTGATTCTAAATTGTAGTTTTACAGAGGGAGTCAGTGGGTGAACTCTCCAAATGATTCAGATTCAGCCATGAATTGATTTAAACTGCCAACAATTTCAGAAATAACCAGAATCCAAATCTGACTGAATCACGAACCGATTCAGTCTGAATTGCGATCTGATTTGGAATATTGAACTGATTCGGGTTGAATAACAACATGATTTGACCTGAACAACAAGAAATTTAGACTGAATCGCAAACTGGTTTGGACTGAATCACGAATGATTCAGAATGAACTACAAACTGATTCGGCTGGAATCACAGGTAGTCTCAGACTGAACCATGAAACGGTTAGGACTGAACCACAAATTCACAATAATTTGGTCTAAGTCACGAATGGATTCAAAGTGAATTGCAAACTGTTTCAGGCTAAATTACAAGCCAAGTCGGGCAGAATCATGAACAGGACTGGACCACAAACTAATTCACATTCAAAGTGAATCACAAACCGATTCAGACCTATTTGCTTACTCATCTGACATATTCACTGAAAAGAACCAAATTAAAGGGGTAATGACATGGATTTTTGTATTATTTTAATATATTCCTTGTGGTTTACTTTGAAGTTTTTTTGCACAAAAAAACAAACAAACAATAAAATACGTGGAAAAATTATTACCGGAACCTCTCTCAGAAACAGGCTGTTTTTAAGGGGTGGGTCCTTTAGGACTTCAGTCAGGAATCGGCCACTGTTATGATTGGCTAACGTCACTGCATAGGAAACAGTATAAACTCCCCCTCGCTATTGCATGTTTTGAGAGTTTTGACAACGTAATCAAAATAAAACGGTCCAGACAAAGCAATATGAAATCATTTACTTACAGTGTAATGCAGCTGCAGTCAGATCTAGTACCACTTCATCTCTCAACACGAACTCTTTGTGAACTCTCCATGACACTGTGCCTTGCTTACAAAACAAAACACGATCCAGGATGCCATTAAAAATGAACTATCCACTTGTTTCTTACTCTGGGATCCTTCTGATATCTGTAAAAAAGATGTGAATTGATAGTTTTCACGTGACGCCACTCCCATAAAGGAATGCCCACCTGGAGGGCAGAACGAGCCTTTTCTCCACTGACCGCCATTCATTTGTACCAGGTTTTTACTAAGTACTA